CCTACCTATTTAGGGCAACATAGGGAAATGGTACTCGACACACTTGTGTGTCGGTGCCTTTCCCTGTGTTGTTCCTGTTCTAGTCTTTCCTACCCGGGCGGTCTAAGACTAAAGTCCCGCTCCCTAACTAGTGCACCTAATTCACTTCGTCTAAGTATTCAGTAATTCTAGAGTGCTAGGTAGTCAAACACACACACACGTACACACACATGGACATACACCCCCTCCCTGCCCCCCGCTTTCCTTCTTGCGTTTTTTGTCGTTTGTTGGGCTTTCTCTCAGGCTTTTTAGGTTGTTCTTGAGGCTCGTTTCCCTACCCCAGTCAAGGGCTAAGTATTCATTTTTCATTTTTTTCTACGCCTATCTTTCTCTCTTGCCCTCTTAGCGCTGCTCTTTCTGTGTTTCTTTCCTTTTGTTTCTAAGGCTTTTTAGGTATCTATTCAGGCTTTCCACGCACGCGCCGCCAAGCGGCACCGTGTCTGTGCCAGCGTTCTTTGAAAAAGCGCCGAAGCCGGCGATTTGTGTGTGTCCACCCCTGGACAAAGGGTTTCGACATGCAGGGGGGCGTAGCGTGTTCAGATGACTACGCCCAACGAAGCTAGTCTGACGGAACTGTTGCTTAAGCTTTTCCACTTTCGGTTTGCTTCCATGGTCCTTCATGCTACTCCCCACAAACAGGTTTCCCACCGCTCTGCAGCTACTGGACGCCGCTTCCACTTGCAAGCTGTCGGAAACATTGTTCAACAATACTTTTCAGCGGACTTTGCCACCTTGCGGTTCCATCGCCATCCTTCCCATCGTGGTAATTGAGTCACTGAATACAAGTGTCAGAGTGTGCTGTTCAGTTCTTGCATCAGGGACCATTCACGGCAACAGTTCTCTTCTTCATGCTTGACCGTGTGTTTGCAATTTGGTTTTCGGATCAGAAACCATGCACTGCACATTTGCAGTCTATAGAGGGTATTGGGGAGCTAGAGTCAAACGCCAGGATCTTTGCAAATGCTAGGATTGGTTTGCCATGCCTCTCTTTGCTGAGCGCCGGTTTGTGACACGCGGCGATAAAAAGGATGTGTCGCATGTAACTACGCACAAGTCTAAATCGCTCATCCCTTTCACTCACTCGCTCAGTCAGTCGACACAGTGCACTCCAGCACATCATCCACCTGCGACTGCAACACACTTCACGCAGAAAAAACCAACGCGTCGGAACCCATCACATCACACATCGCAGCAACTCATTTCGGGTTGTTGCCCACGTCACAATAATCCTATAGTTACGAAATGTTACAAGTTTCGCCCACCAGCTCTGCTGGAGGACTACCTTTTAGTGGTGGTGGTAGCAGAAGTAGTAGCACCAGTACTGTAGTAGATTCAGGCAGGCGTGTGTGGCCCTCAGTTGGCATGTGCTTATTTAAAAGCAAAACAAGGAAATGATAAGGGTTCCTTTTGACTTAGAAAGGGAATGACAACTCCTTGATGTTTCAGTTGTTCTGGGGAAAAGCTCCGGAACATTCAGTCATGCAGCGCAAGGACTCACTTTATTCCAATCCTTAGAACAACTCAAATAACTCAATCAAACACTGGGTGCTTGAGGACCACCCCTTGAAAAAATTGAGGCATTGTTGGTTTGATTGAGTTCGATTGGCTTTTGCAATATAGGTGTTTCAGGTACGAACTCCGCAATTCGAGCAAAACCTCAGAACAAGCCTTCAGTGGTGGTGGTGGTGGTGTTGGTTACTAGTGACTAATCAAAAACCAAACAGGAAAAACAATAAGACGTAATCCACTCTGAGTCACTGAGAGAAGAAATCTTCTTGCTCCAACCCTCAAAGCTTGGGACACCTTTCTTACAATTCTACAAAACTGGATTCGACACTACTCCCAAACAGTGTGCAATAATTAGCTGAGCCGACAACCCCTACATCATCTGAATAATTTTGGTGTGTCGCTCTAATTGTATCAAAGGCTGTTGAGCCGCGCTACGTTGCTTGGACATCTGAAAAGCATCAATGGTACGGTGTTCAAGGCCACGATTGGGCCAGGGATGGATCGAGCGTTTCTCCCTCTAAAGAGCTTTGTCGGTCCCGTTGCCAAAAAAATGACGTTCTTTATCATTTTTTGCCCACACAAATGTGCTAAATGGTTGTGTCTTCAGAAAACGTGCTTCTCTAGTTGTTTCCCTGGCCACAGCAACCGCCAAAATCTCATATGCACTCGCCCGACATTGCCCACCGTTGACCTCCCATTAAGGGCATGGCGCACCTGTTCCGCACACTCATACATTATTATTGTCTTTTTGTTGTTCATGCTCATTCCTAATCGTGGCTCCCATGCTTCGAGAGCTTTTCTCCCATGCTGCGAAATGTCATACAAAACAACTGCACACAATGTCCATCAGATATACGCTGAAAGTCATTGAACATCCGATTTTGCAGAATCACTGGGTTCTTTAGATTGCATAGCTGCTAGCTGCAGATGCAGGATTACATTCATGATTTCACGATGTCTCAGTTGCTCACCCTGAAAGGAGACTATTGCCATTGGCCAGGGATCACTTGCAACAAGAAAGAGGAGGTCTATCGCGTTGATCTTCATGGGCATCGGGACCGGAGTGTGTTGCACGTACAGAGTCAGGAAAGCGTTTCCTTGTAGGGATTGGATGGGATTCGACTTTGTTTCAGTGTGTGTCTTGTGCGTGCTTGTGTGCGCAGGAGGTGACCGGAACCATGGTGGCTGGTGCCTGGAAAAAGCTCAGTGCCCTGAGCCTGGTGGAAGTGGATTTATCCAACACGAACGTGCAGGGTAACATCGATGCTTTCCGCTTTTCGACCAAGTTGCTCAGATTAAACCTTGCCAACACGAATGTCACGGGCGATCCGGCTGTTTTGAAGTCTTCATCGAGGTTGCGCATGTTGAACCTTGCCAACACGAAGGTCAGGGGTGACATTCGTTTTTTGAGTTCAATGCGGAGCTTGACTGAGTTGCAGCTTGCCAACACAAAGGCCCATGGTAACATTGATGTCTTGAGCAATTCATCGAAGCTGAGCATATTGAACCTTGCCAACACGACAGTCAGGGGTGGCGGTCGCATGTTTAGTTCTTTGTCGAGCTTGACTGACTTGGAGCTTACCAACACGAAAGTCAGTGGTGACATTGCTGCTCTACTTCCTAACACAAACTTGCGCTTGGTGGACCTTGCCAGAACGAAAGTCTCCGGTGACATTGGTCTTGTTTTTGCCTTGAACAAATTGCAGGTTGTGAACCTTGCCAACACACGAGTGTCGGGTGACGTTGGCGCAGCTTTCCTATCAGAGAAACAAGATTCAAAAGTGAATCAAGTGACGGAGACTAAGCTTGCATCTTTAACCTATTTGAACCTGGAGCGTACAAGAGTTTCAGGGGGCATTAGGATATTTCAGGATGCGAAGAGGCTACGATTCCTGAACCTCAAGAAAAACAAAGTCAATGGAGATATTGAATATCTGAGAGGTTGTCCATTGGAGCACATATTTCTGAGTGGCACTGGCGTAGGCGGGGATATCCGCGTGGTGCAGGCCTTTCCCGATTTGACCATGTTTCACCTTGATGACACCACGGTCTTTGGTGACATCAAGGCCTTCGAATCGACTCGGAAGCTGGAAACCTTGAATTTGTATGCCACAGGAGTGATTGGAGACATCAAAGCCTTTTGGAGGACCAAGCAATTGAAATGGTTGTCGTTGAGTCTGACTGATGTTTCTGGAGACATACAGGTGTTCAACAACTCTCTCCTCTTGTACATTGTTCTTGATGCAACGCAAGTTGAAGGAGACATCCAGGTTTTCAAAAACATGCCTGGCGTCACCAAGTTGGCCTTGTGCTCGACCAAAGTCAGGGGTGACATTGACGCTTTCAATTCAAGCAAAGACTTGATTGACCTCGCGATCTCCGATACGGAGGTATCCGGTGACCTCAAGGCCTTCTCAAACACCACTCTGTTGTCCAGACTACGTCTACGAAAGACCCAAGTGCACGGAAGTTTGTCGGCCTTGCGTGGCCTTGTTAGCTTGAAGACTTTGGATCTCTCTGACTCGCAAGTTCACGGTGATATTAGCGTGTTTGGGAACCAGACAAACCTGAAGGTCTTACTCCTGTCATCCACAGAAATCAAAGGAGATGTGGATGTGTTTCACCAAAGCCCTGGCCTCAAGTCAATGGATCTATCATTCACAAAAGTGAATGGTGATATCCGAGTCTTTCGAAATCGACGTGATCTGGGAGACCTGAGAATGGCATCGACAAGGGTTTGGGGCGACCTTGGTATTTTGGTGTCCGCATCTTTCGACAACAGGTTCAAGGTCATAGATCTGTCAGACACCGATGTGGAGGGCAACATCGCTGTCCTCAAGGATGCGCTGGCACTACGGGAGCTTTACCTTCGTCGTACGCAGGTTGCAGGCAGCATTGATGGCATCATTGGATGGAAGGAAGCCGCAGTAGTTGACCTCGCACGAACCAGAGTCACAGGTAGACTGACCCGACACTGGCGCGGCTGCTGCAAGAACTTGAGGAGTCTGAAGCTTTCAGCCCGGGCCCCAAGGGGAAGTGGCAGGAGTCAATCTAGTGGCGCTTTCTGTGCAACACTTCAGGTTATTGTTGCATTGCTGCAAAAACTGCGTTTCAATCAGCGAACCTCTCGAAGTGCTCAAATCCGTCACATTTGCCTACCAATTGTTGTTGTGGATTGCAAACGATATGCCGTGTTGAGAAAGAAGATGTGGACGCTAAAGATGATGTCGTGACCTTATTGATCATGCTAGAAAAGCAATACCACTACTGTACCAATCATGGTGGATGTTACCCCGGAGAAGGGATGATTGATGATCGAGGAATATATGTAATGACAGAACAGTCTCAGATTGATGGCAATTTGCCCATAATGACTTTAACAACCCAGAATTAAGTTAACAATAATCAACGCAGCTATTTTGTGCTTGGCTGAAACGTATGCAAGAAACCAAGAAACCTAGTTCTTTCTGTTGAAATCATCCATATATCACATATATATATATTGTTTTTCGCTTGCTGCGTCATGCCCAGGTTTCTTCATGTCGCAAACAATAGAAACTGCCTGCCCACATGTCCGGGCTTAAGCCTGCAATGAAAGGCTCACGTGAACGGTCCACCTGGCCCAAACCCCCAAATAGCTCAAGTGCTTTAGATTTTAACGAATGTTTTCGTAATTTGTATGTCGCATCCCTCAACTCGTATCTGGTTGGTGCCTGGGTGCAGTGCACAAGCTGTGCTGAGTGATCTTCATTTTTGTGCGGGAAGCGCGCAAAGCAAACGGAGTTGACAGTCGATTGTGGATCAGCGTAGCTGAGATGTCATGCGTGGATGCTTCTTGTGGCAACAGAAACACAAACACATGTGGAGAGTCGGTCAAGGAAGAACTTGGCTAAACAGAAGTGGACTCCTGGAGGCTACGTACAAAATGAATCGAAGTTAGTCAGAGAAACAGCAACGTTTCGTCAATCAGTCCGACCACCACAAAAATTGTTTCCTACAGCGCTTTTGCGCGTGTGCTTGGCCATCATTTTTCAGTGTTTGGCCATGCCACTGTTAGACGTGAAAGCGGAGGTTTGGGACATTCTGAGACTGCAGACAGATCCACAATGCCCCAGCGCTCCACCGGTACTGCAACGAAAAACATCGAAAGCGAGGTACCGTGGGCATGACCAGGTTGTGGTGCTGGAGGCTTGCAAGAAACAAATATTTGGAAGCGACGTTAGGCTTGTCCGGCAGGGTAGCTGACTGCAGCGCTACCATTGCAAAAGAGTCATGGGTGGGACATGAATGCTTGGTGGCGGAGCGCGCGCATCACACCATCAGCGCAGAGGTACAGAGCTAATGCGGCTCAGGAAGTGGCCTAAATCACTCGAACGGCCAGGCTCAGTGGGACTCAAATACCCAGTGCCCCATTCAAATTGACCCATGTGCACCACCCTCTGACAAGAAACTCCCTTCCCTGGAGCAACAACCACCACAGCCACTAAGACAACAACAACCACGACCACAACACAAAGACCACAGCAGCCGCAACAACCACAACAGCCACGACTGCAACGTCAACGACTGCGAGAGCAACAACATCAGGGTTGGATGTAAAGCGGCAAAGAATTCAAGAGAAACATGGTATATGTAAGGCATCGCATTAAGTAATTGGTATTCATACACCATTGTACACCTCAGTTCAGTCAATGTACTTGTAGCCGCTGTAACCAGCAACTTTGCTTGCAGAGAGCCGTGCGAACATGCAAGAACGAAGCTGGGCTGGACTAAGTGTTTGCGCACACCACCGTAGTGACTTGAACCCACATTTTGTAGCTGAGGGGAGCAAGTCTGAGTTCTTGCCCACCGGCAGTGACCTCATTGACTTGATGGAAATCTATGTGAATGTCAAGCGGGCCGTGCTGCTTCCCGGTCTGACAACCTTGGAGGCCTGAAGCGTTCGAGCCAGAATCCCGACTGCCATTCGGTTGTGGGACTTCGAACAAGTGTGATTTCGGCAACACACGCTGAGGCCAACGAAAAAGAAGGAAACAACAACCCCCACCCGCTTTTTCATTCTGTGTGTTAACAGCGTCCCTTCAGGTGTCCGGATGTCCATTAAATGGGCGCATAAGAGATTTGGTATTGCCTTTGGCGTTTTGTGAGCACTTGGGGAGCATCATCGCAGTGGATTGCGGGCTTCACGGTGAGTTTCCTAACTTGGATCCATTGGGGCCTACCAGATTGGATGGCAAACTCGTGATTGGTTTTCGCAGCAAACTGGCAAGTTCCTTGGAGGTTCTGGAGATTTCTGACAACAACCTAACCTACATGGAATCGATTCCGTCTTCCATGAGGAAGTTGGTTGTATCCTCCAACAAGAGCCCTTTGCGATTGGCCAAAGGAACATTAACTTCGGCGCTGAAGAAGGGCACTTCAATAAATCTCAGAGGTACCAGCTTGCATGATGACACACGCGCAGAGGCACAAAAACTACTGAGGGACGATATCATACAGAGGACGGGTCGGTGTTCCCCGACCATTAAATTAACGTTTATTGACACTGTTTGTGTATTTCCCTAGTTTGATGTGTTTTGGCAATGTTAATTGTAAAGATTTGTAGATTTTATATGAGTTTCTTCACAACATCCAGCAGTAAAAACAAATCCTACCAAGCTGACTGGATCTCTTTGACACGCACCAGGACACCGGAACGGACATTTTCCAAGGAGGGATACACATGCTATGACTTGGCTCCAAACAGCACGATGCAAGTCTTGCCCTCTGATCTTCTTCCCCAAAAGCTGTGCGTTTGTCTCCCTGGTTGGCACGGTGCGGGGGCCAGCTGCCACAAATGCCCTGTGGACACCTTTAAACCAGACCTGGGTGATATGGAATGTGCAGAATGCCCACGGAGCACTAGTACCAATGGCATTGTAGGGGCTCAGTCTGAGGATGCCTGTCAGTGCAAGCAGACACTTCGAGATCACAAAGGAGGCCAAGAAAAAGATTCTCGATCAGTATTCCAGCCTTTCTTTTGGCCGTTTGTTTTTGTTGCTGCAAAACCTCAGTTCACAAGTATAAGAACTCGGCAAAAGAACGGGAAGGTTTGGCTGCTTCAGTAAGGGCAACGTTTGCAACTGCCCAAATGGAAGTGCAATCTTCGATGGTCACTGCTTGGAGTGCTTTCCGCCCTTGAGACGATGCAAGGGTGGGACAATCTCGGCAGAGCACTGTGGTGAAGGTGCCAAAGCGGCACTACAACACTGTTAGCCTAGTGTTGCAGACAAACGGACATCAGCAAGCTTTTTTTTAATCAGAGCTCTCTTGTGGGTGTTCCTCGTGGTGATGCCAATAAACATCAGCAAAAAGTTGGTTTCAAGCTTCGTTGCCGTGTCGCACAAGTTGGCAAAGTAGCTGCAGAAACTTTTGCTTTAGTCAAGTGAGTTTGAGATTGGGGGCTGGGCTGGATCACCTAACCACTGAGAATCAGACTCTTCCGTGCGCCGTGGGATTCAACTACGGCCTGAGGTTACCATGGACCCTTGTGCATGCGATGTGAGGAGCGGTACTATGCTGTGAGGAGCTCATGTGTGAAATGCACAGGGGTTGGCTGGCCCCAGTGGCTTCTGATGGCTTTGACCTTTGTGCTTGAGCAGCACGTGGAGCTTTTGCGTTTGCCATCAATTGAAATCATGCATGGCCAGGATTTCAGACTTTGTACTCATGACATGTGTAGGACCGATTGTATGTTGCTGCGGTGCCCTGGCACCAAGGTTTGCATCGGTGCCTTACTGGCTGGAGGCTTTGTCGCCGTTGCATACTTTGTTTACGCGTGGAGTCCACTCAGTTGGCTGGATGGATGGATCAAGTCGGCAGCTCGTGTGATCTTCGCCCCAGAACCCCTCGGAGAGTGGCAGCAGCAGCTAGTGAAGCGCCAGGCAAGGAGTGAGAAGCGAGCAAGTTCCAAACAATGTCAACCAAGGAACACACGGAACTCAGATGAAATGCCTAGATTTTGCAGTAGAATTGTCCGCCAAAGTGCAGGTCTTGGGTCCCAGCCGCAATAGCTCTGATTTGGCATCGTTTGGTGTCACATTTTCACTATACTCTGTCAACGTCAGGGGGTGGGCTTGGCGCATGGACATGGGCATGTAGAGGGGTTGCGAGTCCGCCTGTCAAGAAATATCATCCACGATGAGGTGCGCCAAACCATATCCCAATGTCTCTATAGAACTATTAATTTCGGAACCGCTCACAGTCATCCACAATCCACGATTTTAACCTCGATGTGGGCGGGGCAATGTCAGGCCCCTGTGTTGCTACAGACGTGTCAGCTGTGGAGCGTGCTCTCTTCTTTGGCTGCCAGAGATGACAAGGTGAGGGGTCTTGGGCAGGACGACGTTTGCTGCAAGGACTAAGGCGGATTTTAGTTTGGTCTTGCCATTTGCTGCCTGCGTTGAATGTAAGTCTTTGAGAAAATTGTGTTTTCATGTGTTTTCCATTTGAGTTTCTTTGCGTTTCATTGGCAAGGAAGCCAAGAGTGTCCAAGAAGGACTTACCATGTTACAGTAAAGGAAGCAAAGTCGCCCTCATGTCCTGCTAGAGAGGCATGGCCCTTTTGGCATATGCCCCTGGTGACGTCAGCTGTCAGGCTTCCGACATGTTGTGGGAATTGCCCTACGTGCAGCATGTGCAGTTGGCCGTGGGGAACTTGCAGGAGATCCTTTATTTGCAGTGCTTCTTCGATGGAAAGCAGGCAAGGTGCCCGACTGCGTTGGTCATAGTTACAGTTACTACAATAATTCTGAGGAAGTTTCTTAAAGAGTCTTGGTGACCACCCAACGACCAGCTCACTTTTGGAACTTAAAATCACTACGCGCAGCTTGAAAAAGACGCTGCTCACCGGCGTCTCCAGGTGCGCAAGATGGTGGCCTTCATTACGCCGGCGGTGCCGCTACTTCTTTTGCTCGGCTGTGGGTGCCTTGAAGTTTGGAAGCGTGGCTCAGGACAGAGTGAAACGAGTACAGCCATGGCAGATGCCACATGGAAAACCAATGAAAATCATATGATGAGTGGTATGATTCGGTGCATCTCAGCTGCTGGGTCTTTTTTCACCCATGACTTGAGGAACTCCTGTACTGTGTTTGCCACTGAACTGTCAACATGTTTGAACTTCTGGATCCCACTGAACCCAGTATATAATATATATGTAGTTTTTCCTCCTTAATGCTACCATCTACGCCAGTGAGATTTCCTTCGAGTTCATTGTCTCACCCAGGCCCCTCGAATTTGGCCTGGCAGGAGTCAATGCAGCATTGAAGATTTTGACGCTCTTCTTCGTTGGCGGTGCCTCCAAATGTGCTGCCTTAATCACCTGCCAGCGAGTGGATGCAGGTGGAAGGGAGGTGGAAAGGGAGGGAGGTGGAAAAGCCAGGTAGTTCATGTGGGTGGCAAGGTGTCTTGTAGGTCTTAGCTGCCCACTGCAAGAATTCGAAAAGCGGGGAATTTAGTCTCAAACAACTTCTAGGTTCTAGAGTAGTGTTGTTGAATCACGGAAGAATGATTGTGGTTGGCAGCTGTCGTTTGTCTTAGTATTTTCAGAAGAGGGTAGCGCAAGTAGTGGGCTTTGTAGTACTGTAGGAGAACGTTTCAGAGGCTTGAATCGTAATTCCAACATCATTACTGTAAATCGTCATTTGAACAGGGCCAGTTGTGAGAGCACCCATGTGGACTGAAAAGGACTTGTCCTGTGATCGCTTGCACTCCTTGTTCAGCACCCATTTTGTGATCTTGAGATTCCAGTTTGGATTGCAGGTGGTTGGGCTTTGCAATCTAACATGACCGTCCTGCGGCACTTGCCAGACATCGATTGCTATCAAGACAGCATGGTGAGGGCCCTGGTGTGCAATGTGTGGGACATTTCACTTGACCCCCCAACAAAGTCTGAGGCTTCACAGGATGACACTTGTGTCACGAGCAGTGATGCAAGTTGCGAGTTGCGAATTTTCCAAAAGTTATTCGTACCATTGCCTTGCTTGTTGCCTGGCATGCTTCGCGTACGTCATCCTTCGCGTAGCACTCGTGTCATGCATTCCGGATGCCCTGGGGCCCAGGTACCGCCCGATGTGGCTGGGGTGTTTTGGCCCTGCGCCGTGGGCTACGCTATCCTGATGCTTGGTTGGCTATAAGCGGTTAGTAGTGGCTGGAGGGGTCCCAAATCGGCATTGCGCGACTGCCTTTTGATTTGACCTTTGCTTCTACATTGGGGATGTCCGGACCAAAACATGGGATTCAGATGCCCACAAGCATTGAAACTGAATGCGTATTGTACTCTAGAGTCTGCAGCGATTTGTGGTGTTGGTTGGTCCCTGTGCTCGCTACCTCATGTGGTGTTTGCCCACATGCATCCCCCTATTTGCTATTAGGCCATTTGGGGATGCCAACCAACCTAGCAACATTCCTAGAGGAAACTGATAATGACCAACGAACAATGAGGTTGACCAACCAACACTGCGCGCATCACACCAGCGGTCATTTGAGGATCCCCTCCTTCTTGTTCTACCTTTACGCTCGTCAGCATTTGGTTCTGCGCTATACTCGGATGCCTTTGGAGCTTGCCAGTGGAACGACCGAACATCTGGCCGTGAGCCACGAGGTGCCAAATTCGATTGGAGGGTCGGATTTGATCAATAGGTGGTCATCAGTTGTGTTTACGAACAAGAATATCAAGAAGCCTTTATACCACCATTGAATTGGTGTTGTCGAAGGTTGTTAACCCTGGAGTGCTTTGGCGTCCTGGGTTTGTTCAGGCTGCCCACGATGTTGTTGTGTTGCGTAGCTGCAACTGCCAGGATGCCATGCTGCAGCGCAGGGTAGTGGCTGGCCTTGTGGCATACGTCTCCATTTTGCAGCATGGTAGCGTGAGGGTCCAACTACGAGATGGCAAGGGGACCCTTGGGCGAATAAGATCGAATAAGTCTTCGAGCCGCCTGACAAGATGTTGATTCTTCATGATTCTTCAATATTCTCAATTGCGTTTGCAATTGAGAAGACGCATGCCAATGGCGTGAGCAAAACATGGCCACGCACACCATCCACCAGTTCGCGGTGGATCTAAGAAGATCTAAGGATCGCAGCCTTTTTGGACAAGCCTGATGGAACTGCCCTGAAGCTGGATGTCTCTTGGCACTAACATGGAAGTGGATTGCATGGTCCCTTCGGAGACTACTTTCCTTTACGGACAGACGAACAGGTGTTTTTTCGCTTTCATGTTAGTCAGTCGGAGTGTAGACATCCAAATGACATCCAAACAGTGGTAGAATGGAACAACCTCACTCCCATCTACTATCCAGTGAACTTTGAATATATATACCTTCACAACATCGTCCTCGGTTATAGACCTATGGTCGTCGGTTTCACAACATGTTCATCGCCAAGTCATCGTCATCGAACAACAAATGTGCGAAATGTGTGTAAATTGAGGTGAGGGTAGGGGGTTATCGGTTGCAGAACATCGTCAGTGGTTTCAAAAAATCGTAACTACTGTAATCTTGGGCCAGCTAAGTGAGAAATGGAAAGGCAGAAGTCATGAAGACCCTATAAAAAAGAACGTCTTGACGTTTCTGTGGTATGGTGCGCCAGGGTCGATTCCACTGGACGGCGCAATCACTTCTTCTTGCTTTGTTTTTTTCAGGGCAGTGATGGAGTGTAGTACTTGGGAGTCTAGACCAAAATCGGTAGCACACCCAGGCTGAAGCCATCAATGCACAGTTCAACATTGAGTCAGAGAAGCTACGACATCATTCCATCACTGAGATGTTGCTGGAGCGCCACTTGGACGCGCAATAAGTTCAGCTTTGACCCTGAATAACAGGAAGTTGCGAGTGCCGATTCATACCAATTCAAATGCGCGCATGCACACATTGATTTAATAAATCTGTCCAAGCAAGTGTCCTTTGCAAAATACAGTGCACAAATGTGCACAATATGATCACTCTAGAAATCCTCGACTCTGCCTTCGCAGTCTATCCCTTCCTGTGTTTTGTTGGCCTTCGGCCTTCATTGTTTGTTCCCTGTTCTCTCCCCTTTGAATCTTTCCCCCCTTCCTTGTTCCCTTCTGTCCCCTTCCCTTGCTCCTGCTCTTCCTTGTGCCGCAGCACTTGACAATCATTCATCACACGAATCATACCCCACTGGAGAAGCTTGGCCGACTCAGGGTTACAAGTTGCATTGGTGGTGTTGCTGCAGAAAGGTATACCGCAACATTGATCAAGCGTCTCACATCAGCCTCCAGACGGGAGGTTCTCCAAACGAACACGAGACGAGCGAACACAAAGCGAGTCGTAAACACGGAGCCTGCCTGTGTTTCTGATAAAGTGTGAATCTGAATCTTGTGATATCATGCGTTCATACGTATTCTTGAGAGTGCCTGGACGCAGTAACCTTTTAGAAAAAGCTGTCTTCATCTCACCAGTCGAGGTGCGATTTCATGAGTTTTTACACATGTCATGTCATGTGGAGGAATGCTTTGAATATGTATGCCATTCCCAGCAGTACAAACTGACGTGGGGCGTTTTATATACAGCGTAAATCACAGTACATGTTCATGAGTGCCAGAAGCTGCGTGTCTGATAGTCAGCCTTTTTTGTCCGCAAACTGATGTTTAAACTGCGCATCGCGTGGCACCACGCATGCTTCGCATGCCCTCTCGCGAAAGAGAGCGAGAGCTCTACTCAAGACCCTTAGCAAACGTGGTCCCTTCTTTAGTTAGTGAGCTGCAAGCAGGTTCCTGTGGTCATTGAGTGCTGATCGTTTGCTTACTCTCTCCCTAGTGGTTGCTGAAGAAAAGAAGAACTAGCCTATTAGTTCAACACCTTAGTGGAGCTTCAAGACACTTAGACATGACATGAACCTACGTCACGAAGCAAGTTCATTTGCATAGTCGTTCTACATCACTCAGCAACATCATGTGTGTATGAACGTCACGACTTTGGCCCCAACCCCCCCACTCAGCCAAATCAAACGCTGATCTACGTCTCGTAGCAACATCATGCTCATAGACCTTCATCGAACCTACATCAAAAGGTACTTGAGTCGACATCGCTGCTTCAAGTCCTCGCAGAAAAAAACGGCCACAGCTTCACATCAACAACATCACTCGACTTCAACATATCACATTGCAACCGGACTTCACCAATTCCATCTAAGCTTTTCACACTGGCGCACATCTTCTTTTTGGACGCATGCGCCCCCCGCCTGGTGCGAAATCTATATTCTCCCAATATTTCAGCCAAGGCATTCTTTGCTAAGACCCATGTGTAACGAACATGCAGTATACAGTAACATATGGAGAGAGGCTGTGTGGCCTGCCCATTATCACTGGTTCTTTTGGAATATGACCTGTCGCTTGGGCTTGGCAGGAGTTGTGTTTGTCCAAAGCTGATCGGCATGCTGATCGGCATCAAAAGTGCAACATATTCAATCATATTCATGCAATTCCAGGTTTTGCTGAAGGTGATTTGTCATTTTCCCTATGGATAAGTCCCCTTCTGGGGGATATGTTCTATTTTTTCCCGGTTCCAGTGACGCAGGTCACATCTTGGGTCAGGTGGGCGAAAAGGACAGATGCTCGGCGCGGGAATTGCAGGGATGTGTTCCGCCATGCTCAGCCCTGATACTTCGCAAATAGCACTGGATGGTCTTTCAACTAGTCAAGGAGGGTCAGCAACCCCAGCAACTTTCAGGGATGCTGGGAAGAGAAGCGCCGGCTTAAGGTTTCTTCCTACGTCATGTTGCACAGAGCTTTTGTATTGAACGTTGCGACCACAAGAATAGAACGTTGTTCAGGGTCATTGCCTTTTATATAAATCGCAATTGCCCATCGTTCTTTTCTGCGCAATACCTTGTGCATACTAACGTCCACCCAGCGCAATTGGGCAGCCGACGGCCAAGCACTGAGGATTCTTGAAGGGTGCCAAAGAGATGCTCCTGAAGTATGCAGCTTGTCTCCTATGTTTCCATGTTTTTCCATACAGCGGCCGGCCTGGATCATTTGTTTGCTGTGAATTTGAGCATCGCAAAAGTTTTACGCCCTTCTTGAGCTGGTGCACACAGAGAAGGAACTCCAAGACCATCCGAGCACATATTGATTCTCATGTGTAGCACACTGATGATGGGATCTAGTGCATGTCTTCAGGCTCCTGATATTTCTTCGGCCGAGCTTCAGACAGAGACACAGAGTAGGTTTTTGAACGACCTGCTATGGGTCAAAACCCGCTAGATTGTCCATGTTTGATAGTCCATTCCGTTCTTTTCCGGTGGTCAACCCGGGTCTCCCGGTTTTTGACCCGCAGCCTGTCATGACTGTCATGATGTCATGCCCCAATAGTGCTATCATCAATGTTGCTGTTGCTGCTGCTCCTGTCGGTGTTAGAGCTCATCGACAATCCGTGCGGCAAAATCTATAGACGTGCCTGGACAATTGCTAAGTCCACTTGCCGGGATTTGTGGATGGAAGTGATGCTGAAGCTTGTGACCGTTGCCATCGTCCAGGCAACGGCCCTTTGCCTTTCCCACAGCGGGGTCCAGGGTAAGATACACTTGATCTTGTCCAGTTTGTGTGTTTGTATTCAGGTAGAGTTCTTCAAATCACTTCCCGGAATCTCACCAACATCTCATGTGAAGCAGATCCATCAGTTGTCCATTTTGCTTGTGTCATATGGTCAGGGGAGCCAGCGCCCTTTTAGAATTGACGCGATGCGAAGCGGGGCCAGGCCATCGCATCCAGCACTGCGACAAGTGATCCCTGGCAGCCAGAATGAATGAGCCATCGGCAGTTGACTGCCTATGATTCCTAAAAAGAGCACCTACCGGAAACATCGAAAGAAGTGCTAAGGAGTAAACTATACGTCTAGCTACTTGCTGGCTCTTTACGGAGACTTTCCAACGCATTTCCTTCTTCTGGTGAAGGCTTTCTTGTCTTCCAACACATCCACAGGAACGCTCACACTTTGCCAATGTTTAGGACCTCCTCATGCCCTTGGGGAAAGTGCTGGCAGCTACGCTGGGGGGTTGCAGCCACAGTATGGATGGTGCGGCCATACGCGCAACCCCAGGCTAGTAGAAATTGGTAGCCAAATTTTCCAATACTGACACTCCATACCCAGACTAAATCGAAAGGGCCTCGTTTTGGCAGGTGAATGATCTCCAAGTTTGCTGCTTCATGGGCTCCTGAGCTATCAATGGTGAACTGTCAATGGTGAAGCACAGCATCTCTCACACGACCTTTGAAGACCTTTATTGGAGAACGATCAATTCCCTTGTGCCAAGAAGTGGTTTGCATTGAGGCGTTTGCATTGAGACATCCCAAGCTGTTAAAAAAATCGAGGTAATCTTTACTGAAAGACCTGAAGGATTCTCAAATCCAAACATACTTCCCTGAAACCGGAAGTATGAATTCTAGGCTTGGCCTTTGCTGCCACTGGCTTTCAGCTTCACATCGCGTGGCTCAGCCGCGCTGCGCTGCTCTTGCCCTTGCTGCTGGCGGCAGCGCAGCAGATGCAGCCTGATAGCCCAGAGAGCTTGGCGCAACGCTTGTGGGAGGCAGGGCAGCAGGTTGGAAGGTTGTATGGCTGATGATGGTATCCAAAGCAGGAGTAGAAATATTCCTTTGATGTATTGGAACATATTGGAACTATATACATTGTGAATTAAGTTATTGGCTGAAGCAATCAGATGGAGGTTGACAAAAAATTGCTGCGCCAATGAGGACTTGGTGAACGATGATATTCTCAAAAAATCCGCGACTACCTCCATGCTTTCGCGCCAGCAATCCCAAGCAATCAATTTCAGCTTAGAGCATAATTGAACAAACCGTGGATTCATAAATGATAATTAATTACAATGCGATCAATTAAGAATATTTGATCATTTAGAGATCCGTCCCAATATGTTGAAAGTCATATGAATTTGTTGATATAGTAATCCTTTAATATAAAGAACTAGATTTATATATGTATATATTAAATATAATTAATGTATTTATATATCACGAAAGCTAGCCGGTAGGCTGGGCTTGAGATTGTTGGAGCAAACGAAGTGAGCAATGGGAGGGGTTGTGTGGTGATTATTTTTCGGAGAGGGGAATTTGGGGTTTGGCGGGGGAGAGCGATAAAAAGAGGCGGGCCATTTGGTAATGCAAAATGAATGATTTGAGGGGTATTGGATTTCGACGATGTAATTGATAACGAATAATATAATATTTGTATTACGAGGGATTTAGGAACCGATGGAAAAAGAATAAATTGTAATTGCGATTAAGCTTAGCATTGTTGTTTGATTGGAGAGGGCATTTTTTATGTGGCGGGAATTAATATAAATTGGGATTCCGTTTTTAATATAATTTTGTTGTAATTAGTTATGTTTTTAATAATATTTATTGTATATGATATATTTTTGTGGATTATGTTTAATTTGATTTTGTTATAGATCTTGAATATTGAAATAATATGAAAAGAATAAGATAATTAATAATTAGATTTTGTTATGAATATAAAAAATTATCTAAAATTTTGGGAATTTGAGATTTTAAAATATATTAATTAAAATTTATGATTTATTAAATATATAAATAAAGATATAATAATATATAAATTATCGATTTTAATTAAATCTTGTTAATTTCCGATATATATTCATCTTAAATCGTTATATTTATTTCTTTTAAAAAAACGAAATTAACAAACAAATTTATATTTATTCTACAAATATAAAATAAATATTATTTAAATAAAATTAATTAATTCTATATGTATTGGTTTTAAAATTCTTTTCTATATGGATTAATTAAATTTTGATTTTAATATATATATATTTTTTTAATTATGTATTTCGTTGGGCTGTTGTATTGCCTATAAAATATTTTTTTTCTTTGAATAGGAGCATCATCATAAATTGCGTGGTTGATAATATTATTAATGATTTTATTGATCCTATAAAATTATTATTATTTAGGACGACCAATTCGATATTTATCGATCTGGGATCTCTATTGCCTATTTAATATAAAATATAATTTAATTAATTTGAAAGCTGTATTCTTAAAATATGTTCGGTCAATTTTATTCGTCTTTCATATTATCCTTGAGAAAAAGATTTAATCTTTTTTATAGGTTGATTCGGAAAAGCACTTTCGGAGGCAAATTCATAGACCCTCGTATTTGAGTTGTATCTGTCTATAAATGTAATGAGCAAATTTAGAATTCTTCGTAGTTCCCGTAAATGGAAGGCATCAATTTCTTTTATGATAACGTTGGGTCAAATATATTGTTTTAAGGCTATACAATGATTTGCTTTTGATCATTGCATCATAAATAAGAAATTATTATTTCTTATTGGCAATGGATGGGTTCCTTCCACAATAGAGAAAGTTTGTTCTATGTGTGTTTCGTCTCTTGGATGCGTTGTGAGATTTCTTTCTTGAGGTCTATAATGCGGTGGAGATTATTTCCTAGATAAGTAGTTTCGTAAGTTATGTTCAGGTGGTTGCCGTCATGAAAATATATGTTAGCAATACGATTCATAGTGATAACGTGGCATTTGGCTCTATTGATTCGGAAATCACAATAAATAGAACAGATTTCCATATGTTTAAGGAATTCATTGAGACCTCTGGATGTCGTCGAGAATAATATTATATTATATTATCTACCATGAGCCCTCACAACCATGAAAAATAAAGGTTGTATGTTACAACCATGATTTTTTAGGTCATGCATCAGGAAACCTGGTTTTCACTTTTGGGCTTCAAGCATCCCACACACAAACCCCATCAACCTCCCTTCCAGCCCAGTGCCGATCCACCGCGCAGCATTTCCATCTGGAGCGGTGCGGTCCCTGCTGCAGAGTCACGGTGGCCTGACTTAATTAGATGGGTGGGTGAGCCAACATTCATCGTATGTGGGGTCGTAGGACACAGGTTTTTTTGGTTGCATAAGGTCCAAAGACTTGAAAACTATTGAGGGTCGGGGCATGGCTAATCACCCAAGCTTCGAATTGATAGGAACAGCCTTTGGATCACCCGCATTGCGGTTGTCCGTGAAGATACACGCCTTGCTAGCCTTGATGGCCGGCCGACAAAATCTTCCTGCATCTGACATGAGTAAACTAAACAATTCACAGCAAGTTTACCTGCCCTTCCTTGTTCCAAAACATCAAGCATTTGATGATGTAAGTAGTGACATTTGGGCATGATGGGAAAGCGCTTTTGCCTTCGCTCAAAGCAGCATCGGGCAAGCTTTAAGTACAACTGAAGGAAAGACAATCCACTCTCAGCCAAACTCTGTGCCCTCTCAGGCTTGATAAAAATGCCTTCATGGTAGAGTCCGCCAATGAACTCATTGATCTTGGCAGTGGCTTCTGCCTCGGATGCATTTGTGAAACAACTGTTCCTTCTACAGATGGTTCACATACACATCGGCAAACCCAAACACAAACAACAAGACTATGCAAGCACAGGCGGAGCAACACACATCAAGTACACTGGTTCTTGAGTCTTCCCAATCACTTCTCTTGAGCAGTAGTCCGCGAACCAAAGGTGGAGCAAACGAGTGAAGTCGCCCTTGGACCAACCTCCGTCAGGGCATTCTTGGAACCCTGTGTGCACTCCAAAAAGTACTGCGGTCAATCGCTTGTGATAAGGAGACTCCTTCATCCTTTTGCAGTATGCCTGAAAGTCGGCAGTGAGCTGCTGAAAGGCTTGTTCAATCGAAGTCGGAATAAGTTCCATCACCATCACAACCGCCGATGAGATGTAGTTCTTTCCCACACCCAAGTGGTAATTGTGAAAAACATCGAAGCGAAACACAGCTTCACTTGCAGTGTTGATGCTGTCATATGGGATCCCCAACAAAGAGGAGGCCTCACTGAAGGCGGGCACCAACCCCTGAGTTCGCCGCCAAGCCGGGTCAGAATTTCCTAGTTCTTCATAAAGTATGCTCTCTGGCCAGTCCTCCTTTCCTGCCATATACAAGTGTACACAAGTGGCAGATGCCACAACAAGGCTTCTTGCTGACCTTTTTTGTTGGACGGCGTGCGAAACTACGCTCAAAACGACCGGCTTTCGCTAAGAAAGGGGCGTCCCCTTTGATTCCAATGCAGCAAACGTAGTACCTTCTCCCTTCAATGACCGTGCCCTGCTCAAATAAATACGTGAACTCATCACTCTGAATTTCAAGAACACGGTAAAACGATTCCGGAGAATTGTTGTACAGGTTGATCGGCATGGCCCCTAGCAGGAAATGTGTGGCAACCGTCCGCCCCACCATGTTGAGGGCAAGAGGATTCTCAGGATGTCCAAAGGAGTCGACCAGTTCTGGCGTCTTGGATGTGCCACTTCCACAAACTCCGTGCGTTGACAAAATCATAACTTGTTTTTTCTTCAGCCCCCTGCCCTCGTCCCCGTGAAAGAGCACGGGGATCGTCATAGCCTTGTTGATGTCATTCCGGGTGAAAATCACATGTGTGCTGTGCACTTGCCTGTATTTCTCCCAAAAGCTCGTAAGCATTTGCTGCATCACCGGCAAATCTTTTGTTCCCACTAAACAATCTAGTTCATCGTGCTTGACCAGATAGTGCAACCAATCCTCAAACTTCACGTAAGGAAACTGCGCCGCACTCGGCAGGTCAACTTTGGAGATTGGAACTTCCAAAGAAGATCCAAAAGACTTGAATACTCTGTGAGCACCTGTTTCACTCTTCTTCAAGTTTACTCGGGACAAGGCTTTCAGACCCTTGGATCTGACTCGTGTGACACGGGCCTGCTTGATGGCGTCTCTGCATGAGACCTTGGCAGCGCGAAACCAGTGCAAAGAGCAATCTATAAACATGATAAACCGGCCAAATCGGTTTAGCATAACATCCATTTGTTGCCCCTGCCATATAGAAAGGTGTTCACAAACAACAACTGTCGCATGCTCAAAGGTCCTTTTGTCACAAGTGGCACCACCAATTCCCTGGAAAGAAGCCAAGGAGATTGAATTATTCAACAGATCGTTGTAGATTGTTGCTGAAAAAGTCAAATTATAGATCAACGTATTGCCCTCCCCTGGTCCGCCCTCCCACCAACAACATACACAAAATGAAATGGCTCGTGTTCAACACTTGGTGGACCTTCGCCTCCATAACGCTGGTTCCGGCAACCATGCTCAGACAAGTTCGAAGCAATCAGAGCTGCCTCCAGCATTTGGGCTACTCCTAGGTTGTCTGTACAGTGAAGCAGGCTCATGTGAGAATAGTTGGCTTCCTTGTAAAAGTCAAAGCGCACAATGGGATTCGAAGTCATGCCAACTTTGTACACACATAAGCTACGGGTCATCCTGTTCCGGAACTGGTCAACAGCGGCCAAACAGCGCTGCAGAACAGTCCCTGCTGAACATCTATATTTCATCCGGGCAGAGAGATAAGCAACACAAATGCCATGTTGTATAAACAAGACTTCTCGATCCTTTAGATCGTTTGATTCAGCAGGTGTAAGAGCAGCATGTTCCCCAGCACTCAAGTCTCGCAAAGGTTGTCTTGTCACAGGAGGTTGTTCCTAGGTCGTGCTAAATCTATACATGTTCATTTCAATCCAAACTGTTTGGGAGTTTGCTTGCGCACAAAGAGACCCCGTTCCGAAAAATAGAAAATTCAACCTGACAGAGTGTAGTATTGAAAAGCCAAGGGACATTGCATTGGAGCTCATAGGGTTGTCCAATACTCCGACTTCGAGCCCCCAGAACTACGCTTGGCACTGCTGCAAGATTCCTGAAAGGTATGTATATATAGAGAGAGGTTGATGATGAATAGAACAATATAATCAACTATTGGGTTGCATGTCCAAAGCTAGCTAAATTGCAGCTGGGCGTCCTGGTATTGGTGCTAGGCAAGCGGTTTTCTTTCAGACATGGGGGACACCTTGTTACTCCGCTAATTGGGCACACATAGGTCAGCAAATCACGAAGCTCCTCTTCATAGGGGTCAATGCTGCATTTCCTTTTCAGGGCCATGGCAGCACCGCTGCAAAAACAAGGTGTTTCTCTATGTTGGGCCCACACGTAGCTGCAACACCGGGCGAGGTTTAGGAAGGTTCAAGTGGCTCAACCCACCACTCCCTTGGGGTCCAGATGCCATGGCCGACCATACGCGCCAAGCCACGTAGCTCAGGCTCTTGACCTGGCATGGCCCGCTGCTGGGCTTGACGGAGGTTTGGATGGGGGCACGGGTGGGATTCGGAATGGTGACTGCGTATTTTACAAAATGAATTTGTTTTTCCAATGTTTTCAGTCGTTCCATTTGGTTCATGATCAGCTGGTCTACAGATGCAGCATGCGAGTCTGGCTGCAATCTAGAACGCAACTATACTCCACACCCATTCCTACAGCACATGTTCTATCACGTGCTGCCTATGGATAGGTGCTCGTACAAAGGTTGCTTGGCAACAGCACCAAAACCCGTCAATGATGTCCATTGACAACCCCAAACAGATAGGCTTCAAGCCACAAAATATAGAATCTCTCAGGAGGCAGGTTCAGACTCCTTCTCCTTGTTCTTTTTCTTCAAAGCCTTCTCCAATGCCCTTGGACGTGAATTGAACATGTTGAGGGCAAAGCGAAGGTTCCAACATATATGAGCAAGCACAAGCCATTCCATAAAACACGGTTTCTCAGATATGCAGGCCAGAAGCTTTGCTTGGGCCTCTGCCGAGCTCAAAGCCGATGCCCTCAGGTCCGGTGGGACGTTGGGGTCATGGTACACATTTGATGTACATGGATAGGCGCAGCTCGGGGTATGCATGTTTTAAGACAAGGAACTTGGTCATCGCCGTTTTCATCGATTCCCGGATCTGGTTGGTATTCCTCAGATGGACACCAACCTGCATGTTTAGGTGACACTGCTGACCAGAATTTTCAAGTTCTATAAAAGGGATCTTGGCCGAGAGATTCTTTGGGTGTTCCAATTCCGGCAGCCCGAAACCAGTGAGGCTTTGCACTAGGCCTGGCAATACTTAAAGCTATATACAGCTATATTTCAACAAAACAGTTTTGCGTGCACATATAGAGTTGGGGAATGTAAACCAGATCAAACATGAAATGATATAGTTATATTTCCCATATCGTTTTGTATAGGGGGTGACGTTTCACCGGGCAGAAGACCAGGCTTCTCAGGGTTTCGCTCGGCAGCTCCCACCAACGCCCTAGCCGCTGTGAAGGCGTCATATGCATCCTGGGCAGCCTGCATTTTGGTATCCAAGGCCGCGATGGTCCTAAGCAAGCCGGGTTGGAGTTGCTTCCGTGGATATACTGCATGTCATGGTGTTAAATGCGAAAAATGGTTGGGAAAATGAGTACAAACAGGGAAAGATGCTTGCTGCATTCTGAGGGTTTGGCTTTTTGACACGGTCAGCCTCATCACCCCGCTTGTAGGCATCCAAGCGTGCAATAAGATCAGTGATTTCGGACAGCTTTGAAAGCATTCCATCCTCGAACTTCTGTTCCGTCTCAATGTCCTTGACATCAAATATGTTTGTCTTACCATTAAGTTGGCATTGGAGACACTGATGTGGTTTTCAATGTTTTTCATGTTCTTGCAGTTGCAGCCAAGAAGAACAACTCAGCCTGTGAGTTAATATATATAGTGTACAACACACCAGGACCCATCCACTGCAACCACGTGTGGGTGTCTTCTAGATACAGCTGGGGTAGTCAAAAAGATGTAGCCTAGTGACACCATCTGCTGGAGATGTGGCTTTCGCCCCACCGTCTTCATCGTCTTCATCGCGGACGCTAAACTTGGAGTCGAGTTCCACTGGACCACCCTGGAAGCATGTTGTTTTAGCGGGTTCTTTTGTTGCAATTAGGTTGGATAGGAATGAGGACATGGTTCCGGTGCCTCCTGGGTCTCTTTGCGGGTTTCACTCTCGATCGTGGTCTTCTTCTTGGATTCCTTGTCAGAGTATTCCACAAAGTACTTAAAGGTCTTCTTGCTGTATTTGTCCGGCCTCAGCTGGAGAACCATAGGCGCCAACCCTCACTATGTAAAGGTCAACTGCTTTCAGATGTTGTTTGGTGTGAACATAAATGCACCAAAGCACTTCACTAGCCCGTGCTTCTTGCAGTACTCGATCACATCTTTGATGTAGGATCTTGGCTGGTCACGATGCACGAGCTGTATTTGCATATGAACATGTGTCTGTGTGAGATTGTCCCATATATTTGTATGATCATTTATCGCATGCACACGCAGTGACCATTAAGTTCATTTAAGGGTCGGTGACCATTTCAATTCGTTCTTCATTTGTTCCGGGGTGAACCATCCTGACAATACCTCCTCCGCGTGCTCATTCCTCTTCTCAATCTGCTTCACAACATTGCAGACAAAGGTGGCCTGCTGGGATAGCAACTGCTGTTTGGTTTTGTTGATAAACAAACTCAAGATTACACTTTTGCTACGAATCGTGCATATATATATATATATACACAATTCAAAAAGGTACATGATATGTGAGATGTACATTGCCCTCCCCTTGATGAGTCCTGGTCGAACTCTGCTTGCTCCAATAGAGCACGGAGGTTGTCTCTCTCAGAACCACCTTGTGCCCATGCCTTATGAACAGCCTCAGGAACCTTAAGCTTCCCAGACTTCTTACGCTCGCAGAGGCGCCGCAGCCGGGCATCCACCATCTTATATCGGGCAAAAGCTGCCTTATGCTCACCATCCATCTCGCCCTCATCATCCTCACCATCCGGCACCTGTGATTGTATGTATACCAAATTAACATGATAGTCCAAGTTGCAGACCATGTGTATATATGAATATGCACCACGGTTTGGTAAACATCTAGTGCAGGTCCACTACATGCATCATCTTCACAGACGTTTGCTAAGCGAACGTTTCACATCACAAGTTCAGTTTATAATACCACATCACATCACATGCACCTCCGGCGGAGATGAATCTGCCTTTGTGGAAGGGGGAGCAGTAGAA